ATATACCGTTAATGATTTACATCAATACATATGGATAAATTTTATATCGCATAAGGTTTAGTCTATGTTATATCAGATATATTATATACTCAATATGTTATACTTTATACCATGTCTTTTAGAACTTCATATTGGCTTTCAGTTTGGATTGTTTGCCCTGTAATGAGCATTTACTATTTTACATGTTTTAGGTAGATATATATTAGTTGAATTACATTAACATGGTCAAGTGCAAAGGGCTACCAAAACAAAAGGAAAGAAGAAGAAGTAAGAAGTGCTACCTACATGACATTTATAAAAGTACATTACATGGGTATAAATTATATACTACTTAATAGGCGTTTATACGTAATTGATAGTATATTTCAATAGTACAAGTATATTATATATCCATGTATGTACTAATCTCTATCTTATAATAACAAAACAACATGAACATAATTTATACCCATAAATATGAATAGCTAAAATGTAATTTAAAACAAGATAGTAACAGGAAGCGCAGAAATGATGTGACGGTGGAAAAACCAGAATTCATGTTTTGAATGATGAGTGGCGTGTAGCATACTGTGTTTTTTTTTTGAACAAGTGCGAATGTGAGAGGAGTGCAGAAAATTTAGATTACCATTTTGAAACATTGTAGCACCGTGCAACATATCAGAAATCGAAGGGAAAATGTTCGTAGTACCGTAGCAGACGACAAAGATGTTTTGTTGGGTAGTGAACGAAGAAGAAAACGAAAACAATGGAGGAGGGATGAAAAACGGAAGAAAAAACTGAAGAAAAAACGGAAGAAAAAAACGAAGAAGAAGAAAATCAAGGGATTTGGAGAAGAGAACGGAAACAATGGAGGAGAGATGAAAAAAATCATTTTTGAGGGATTTAGGGGGAGGGAATTAAAGAATTTGAATTGAGATAATATCTATGGGGCCCACATTTATTAAATGATTGTGATATTAATTTATGGAAATAACAATTTTATATTTCAAAAAATCCAAATCCATTAATAAATGAAAATGCAATCAATAGGGGTAAATTCGGAATTAAATGAAAATCTTACCTGCAGAAATCTAAAAGTGTAAATTTATAGAAATTTAGACATTTATGTAAATAAATTTCTAAAACAGCCCTCCGAAGATATTATCTATTTATTTTAACACAATATATATGTTGATACTTTTAGGTTTTGGTGTGTGCTGTGAAGAAAAGAAACAAAAGGTAGCGGCACATCTTGATAAAACTTGTGGCGGCAGGTAGCTGTGAGGCAGAGAGATAAGAGGAGGAATATTTGGGTTGTAATGCGTCGTCGGCAACTCGTGTTCGTGTCTATCAGTGAGGTTTTTCATTTTTGTTCCTAAGTATTAATGGTGTAAAATACTTAGAAGTTAGAGGACTTTTGTTGAAACCTCTAGGAGATTTTTTTAGGAAAGTTTTGTATCCAATCAGAATTACTCACACTTGAGTGAAAGACTAGATGTAGTCTGAACCTATAAAATTTTGTTGTGTCCTTTTTCTTGTTCTTTACCATTTATCTTCCTATTTGCATCTTTTTTATTGTGTTTGGATATTTCTGTGGAGGACGGTTAATTTCCCAACAAGTATCAAAAAGTAGAGTCGGATAGAGTTTCAATCTTTGAAGCACAAATGGTACAATAAGGTAAGACATTCATGACTCTTTTTTAGCTAATGTAAGCATTGTAGGTAGATGGTCGTGAATTACCTTCCATAAAAGTAATTTAACCTTGGGGAGGACATTGAGTTTTTGTATTTGCTGCCATTGATGACCCTGTTGTTATTGTTGGAAGAGGGAAACAAACATCTTAGGTACGCATAGAGCTGTAGTTACTTTTAACATGGTAAGAATCTATCAAGGAATCATATATATTAAGAACAACTTGTAGGGGTATTGACATTATTTGGTCCCTGGCAAAATAAATTTGTCAAAACGTTGGTATGCTTGTTGCAATCTCGAGGGAGATGGTCGAAGTAAATGGAGGTAAAATTTGGGCTAATCATCTCTAAGGGTTGCAATCTCATCTCTAATAAGCTTGATTGTATTGGAGGAATCAGATTCAACAAGGAGATGATTGCAATTGATGGATCGAGCAAGGCACAGATCTTCTAGAATCGCGTGAAGGTCAACCAACAGAGGTGGATAAGCAATTGGGACAAATAGGATCCTCTGCCATTTATGTCTCCGTGAGAATCTCTAAGAAGCTCTAACCAATCAGCGGCATTAAAACGACGCCCACAAGCTCCATCAATATTTAATTTAAGGCAACCAGAAGGTGGA